TCAAACAGTCAAAATCTATTTTTGATACAAAATTTTAAAATATTTGAAATCTAAGTTTAAACCATGAGTATAACAAATAAAAAATGTAAAAGAAAAAAGAAATAATAAAACTATAAAAAATAGTGAAAGATCGGGTTGTATATTTTAGTTTTGAAACATAAACTTGATACATATCAATGGAACAGTTATGTCTTGTTGATATGGTTGGGATCAAATCTTAAATAAATAAATTAAATGAACATAATTAGTGTGGTTAAAGTATTCGATTTATGGAATGGAACCAAACCTATGAACACCCCTATTAAAATGGTTAACTATGATAAAATAATGAAAAGGTTGTGATTAATAATGACCTGTCACTACCTCACCCATCAAGATCATACATAACTAAACTCACTTCCCCCACACAGCCACGAGGAGTGAGATAGTGTCATTTGGTTTGCTGTTTGGTAAGGTTGAGTTGAGAGATATAAAATAACAAAAAATTATTTGTCGGATGAAGGCCACGTTTCAATCACGTACCTAGCAATAAAATACACTGTTATAAAACTCCTCCATGTTACAACTTAATCTCCAACCAAACTTAACTCCAAATCTTAAAGAAACTGGATTCAACATGATTATATAATATAAAATTGATTTGTGTGGTGAATATTATTCTTTATTTATATATAGTATTTTGATTTTAATATTAATTAATTTTTTGCTTAAATATGTTTTTAGTCTCTCAAATTTAAGGTAAATTTGTTTTTGGTTCCTCAAATTTAAAATTGTTATTTTTAGTCCTGTAATTTCAAAAAATCTTATTTTAATTCTTTTATTCAAATTTTGTTAAAAAATTTATCAAACAGTAGTGCATAAAATCTACCTATTGGTGTCTCGATTAGTGAAAATATCACATTTAATCTAGTTGATATTGTATAATTGTCTTAATTAGTCATTTTCAAATATGTTATTGGTGACCTAAGGGACTAAAATAAAAATTTTGAAAATTATAGGGACTAAAAATAATAATTTTAAATTTGAGGGACCAAAAATAAATTTATCTTAAATTTGATGGACTAAAAACATATTTAAGCCTTAATTTTTTTTTACATAATCTCTTATATTGATCGTTAAACATTTTGAATGTGAAGTTTACATATGAATATTTGAATATATGATGATGATCCGTTAGTAATCTTATAAATCTAACAATGCTTAAAAAAAATTGATTAAACTTAACTTAATTTTATAAAATCGATTTCAAAAATATAAAAAAAATTAACTTAACTTTATAAAATAGATTTGAAAAAAAAATTACTATCTAATTATATAGATTATTTTGGTCCTATTATCGGAATTTTCAATACCACCACAAAGTGCTTAACAATACAATGATGTGTTGCCCCAAGAAGCCGAAATAAGCAGTTTAAGATGGGGCCCATTTTGTTGTTGCTTTGTTTGCATCTGAACTAACGTTCGAGTGACAAAAATCCAATGAATGAAGAGTTAGGTTCGAAAAGAAAACTTGAGGTTGAGATAGATCGTATCATGTGAATATTGTACCCACCCCTCTACAGTTATTTGTTCTTCCTTCTAACTAAAGGAGAAGCCAAGACAAGTGTGTGCACTGTGCAGAGGAAAAACACATAAGAATTCGTTTTTACTGCAAGTTTGCTTTCCTTGCACATCAAAGAAAATTAAAAAAGAGAAAGCCAGAGAGAGCACGGGTCCTTGTCCATTTTGAATTGAACAAGAAAATAATAGATAAATGTTCATAATCATTACCAAGCTAGAATTGTTTTTTTATTATTGCAATGCAAGCAAGCACAGAAATAGCATGAATGCATATTCATGGTTTAGTGTATTTATATAGTTGTATACTACTATACTAGGCGCGTAGAACAATAGTATATATACCATTAATTTTGAATTCGAATTGTATGCTTGCACATTTAAATTAAATATTTAGAGAAAAACTTTGTTATATACAATAGTCATATTGGCTCGACCATAATTGTTTCTATAAAGGATAAATATGGTCTATATAACAAATGTATTAAAAACATTGTTATATACAATTAGTATGATGTGTTGTATACGTGTTTAGTTTATTTTAGAAAAAAAAACACTTATATTTAATTTGATACACCCTTTATGAAAAATGTCTTCTTTATACTAATAATTAAAAAATAACACAACTTATATGCGATTTTTAAAATAATCATAAAAAATGAATAAATTACATAATCACTTGTGTTAATGTTTGATACTCTTTTCATTCTATTTTGTTTCATGTTTAAGATTTTGGCACAACACTTAAAAAATACAATTAATATGCTTAATTTCATAAGATAAACTATGTAACTTTTCAATATACTCTTAAACCTTTTAGATTCACTAAAATTGAAAAATGCATTAATAATGATTAAGGGTACATAATAGAAAAAAAAACATATTTAATATTATAAAATGATAATCAAATTAAAATAAATAAAAAATATTAAAACATAAAATAAAATGAAACGAAGAGAGTGCACTCTCTATAAAAAAAATATCTTTTTATACTAAAAATTAATAAGATACCACTTATTATGTGATTTTTAAAATAATTATTGTAAAAACTCAATCATTTGCAATGATATGACAAATTGGCAGTACAAATTAAAGATGTTCACATCTGAGGTATTAAATTTTGCTTTTTAAATTAAAAAGATATCTCAAGATTAAGAAGATGCATGAGAGAATTTATAAATTACTATAAATTTTAATTCTTAAATAATATCAGATTTTTAGGGTACATAGCGTATTGCAACCGCAATTTGAGAGCCGTTTTTCAGTATTTTGTTCAGCAAAACCCGTAACTGTAAGGAAAATGAAAATCATACATGTGTGAGTTTGATGTTAGCTAGTGGAAGTATGGATAATGGCTATTATCCAAGAAAAGAGTAGAATAGTTGGATATGAGAAAATGATATTGCAGTTATGGCCCACTAATCAATTTTTGCCACGCTCCCCCATGCCCTACTCTATACACATAGCTTCATAAATCTGCTAGGTAGCACATGGTGTTTGGACCTTAACTCAAAGGGAGTGTGATAGTGGTCAATATATATATATATATTCCATCAAATTGCACTCACAACTCACTGCTATCTTCCCCATTGGTGGCCCCTCTGGACGCTCTTAACTCCATTGGCTCCATGCATTGTGTTCCAATCTTAATGCATTACAAGTTAACACGACATGGACATGTTCAGTTGTTTTTATGGAGACAGTGCAGGAAGTTAATAGAGCTAGGTTTTGGTTTTGGCATTTTGTACATTAAAACTTTTAAGGATTAACTCAATTCCCAAACTTAGTTCAAGAGGTGAGAATTCTCAAAATTAGACATCTCAAGTATCAACTTCGCAAGATTAGTTATCTATATTGATAGGTTTGATAACTAGTGAATCAATAAGAGAAGATTAATAATTTATTTTCCTTTTTGGACATCCAAGAGGTGTATACATCTAGAGAGATATTAGGAGAGAGGAATGATAAGTAATTGAGATAATTAAGGATATTATGTATGACAAAAAAATAAAGATAAGAGATGGATACAAATTAATTGGGGTGTTTTACTTATTTGAGTGTCCAAAAAATATGAGTAATATTACATATATAATAAAAAATTATACAACGTCCCTGCTTTATATTTATTTATCTTTATCACTTCATTTTTTTTTATAGAAAAATATTATAAAAGATGAAGAGAAATATGCATAAAAATAATATACAATTTTTTGTTATAACATTACTCTTATATCACTTTTATTTAACACTATTATATTTTTTTTTTTACATTTCTAATACCCTCTTTACTCTTAGTTGATAATTATAAATTTTTGTAGACCTATTACTAAATCAAAAAAGAGACATATTAAATAAAATAAGAGACCTACAGAATTTATTTATTAAATTTTGAGAAGACATATTGAATAAAATACAAGCCTACAAAATTTATAATTTTTATTAAATTATTCGACTAACAATAAAAATAGTATATTAGAAGGAAAGTATTAAATAAAATATCCCTAAAGTATTTCTCATCTTAAAATTTAAATTTGTTACTAAGTAAAGTTAAGAATTGTCTCTATTTATATATTTATTATTTTGAGTTTTTACAATATCACATGTGATGTGCAATCTCCGACTATATATTAAAGGGTGATTTAACGTGGCTGCATACACAAGGCATGATTCGAACCTCTGACCTTACTTAAACGTGAATCAACCCCTACCGCTGAACCACACGCTTGGAGTTAATTATGTAATGCAAGTGCGAAGCCTGAACTTAAGAAAAATGATTTTATGATAAAAGTTATTCTTTTAATTTTGAGATATAAGTTTTATTTTAGTGTACAGTGTTAATTTTTGAATATTCAAATAATGAATTTGGAAATTCAAATATACTGGTTGACAGGTGGTATTTTTTTTTTTTTTTTTATAACATAAATATTAGGTGTGTCTCGTCATGAATGATAAAACGATAAAATAAAATAAATAAAAAAAAGTGGCGATGAAGGTAAAAATTTATAATATCTTCTAAATTCGTATGTTCCAGTAAAAGATTTTTAAATTTAGAAGTTATCGTATTAATTTTTAAAAATAAAAACTATTAAATAAGTTTTTAAAAAATAAAAATTATAAATTCGAGAGACAGTTGACTATAAAAGTGATAAGCTAAAAAAATTTCACCTGGCATAAAATTTTAGTCTTAGGTGGTAATGTACCAGTACATCTTCAAACAGGGATGTATAGTAAAAGAATTGTCTTATTTTTTATCTAAAATTAAATGAAACTTAAAATTTTAATATTAACAAGTTTAGATATATTTTTAATCTTTGTAATGAGTAAAATTTGATTTTTTTTCTCTGTATTTTTTATTATTTTTTATTCCTTCAAAATTTACAATTATTATTTTTAATCTTCATTATTATGTAATCATTATTAATTACTTATTATTCATTAAATGATTAAGCAACGATCTCATGTGTTACTGTTACCTATAACCATTAGTGATATTGTGTTAATGTGTGACATTCATAAATATAAATAGGGATCAAAATCATTTAATCACTTTTACAAGGACTAAAAATATTTTATAAGGATCAAAATTAATGTTAACAAATTTTAGAAAGATGAAAAACAAAATAGAAAATTGTAGAGACCAAAATCAAATGTCGTTCATTTTATAAGAATTAAAAATATATTTAAGTCATATTAATATATATTTAAAAATTAAAATAAGAATAAATAATTAAAATTAAGAACTTATTATGCATTCTAAGAATTTATTTGACATATTTTTTTAGTTTTAATGACCAATGTGACAATGCTTACTACTTTTAAATACCAAAATGACTATTTAATAATAATAATAATAAGTTTTATTTCCTTCACGAAAAATAAATCAATCAATGAACATTTACAAAACAATTATATTTATAACACTTTTTTTTTTCTTTTTCTGTTTTTTCCAAGTTAAAACTTAAATATTCAATAAAAATCTTACTTAAATGTAAGTATTTGATTTTGAAAATTTTTGATACCCCTTAGCATGTAAAGCGTGAAATGTGCATATTTAAAAAGTGTCTTATGAATTACTAACATTGATATAGGGATAACGGATAAGGTTGAGATAAAAATAATATTATTTTTTTTTATTTTATGATATAATTTTAAATTAATTTTTGATTGATTTAAGATACAATATTTCTAATATTAGATTTTTATTTAAATAAAAATTATGAAATTTAATAAAAGTATGAATTCAAAAAGATTCTAAATATATTGAAAATTATGTAAAATTTATATTTTACAAACAACTAAAAAATAATATAAAATTAGACTTTTAAATTTTTAAATTGTTCTTTAATTTAACTTTATGTAATTTTTACTATGTATATAATACTTTTTTTAAAATTTTTAATTATATTTAATAATTTTTATATAAGTAAATTTAACAAGTCAAAGTTTAAGTATTAAATTAGTTAAAAAAATAATTTAAAATTATGTTTTAAAATTAAAAATAATTATTAAAAATAATCATTATTTCAAAAGAATCTAAATGTTTAAAATTAAAAAACAAATATTCTAAAAATAAAAAATTAAAATAAATATAATAAATAAAATAAAAGACTATATAATATTAATACATAGGGAGAGAGCATTAGTAAATTACAATTAAGAATTATCTCAAAATACATGCAAATAGTGTAATCTGCAAACCAACTCTAATTAAAAATCAAGTGAATGTGTATTAATTAGCCAATAATTATAGGATTTATTAATTTACACTCCCTTATATTTTTGTTAGAGTATGTTGATAAATTATATATATATAGAGAGAGGAAGGATTAATTTATTATAATTAAATAAATTTTAATGTGTAGATTAAGTCAATAATTTTTTTAAAAAATAGAAAACTATTTGATACTCCGTTCATTAATTCAAATTGACAGATAATCATAAAAATATTTTATACGTTGATTTGAATTAATAAAATAAAATATTAAATAGTTTTTAAATTTTTTTTAAAAATTATAGACATGATTGTATATATACATCAATAATTTTTAATTCAATGATTGGATCATTAAAATTTAATATAAATATGAAATATTAAATAGAATAAGTTTAGGTAAACTTACTCATAGAATAAATAGATCTCTCTTTATATATATATATATAGATGAATATCTCATTCAAGGTTGAGTTTTCTATATTTACAAGAAACACAATTTAAATATTAACAAATTGACAATTTCAATTATAAAAAATTAAATTATGTTAATAAATCCATATATAATTTACATTAATTTTTTTTATAATTAAAACTCTTAGAATAGTGGATTTGAAACTAATTCAACCTTACAAAATCATTGGACTTGGTACATGGATAAATGGTGATACTAACTTAGAATAGTGAATTTGAACTTAATTCAACCATACAAAACTAACTTATAAGGTGAAAATTACTTTCCACTTATATACTATTTAATTGTCTAATCTCTAGTTGATGTGGGACTTAAATTTTTTAATTGCCTAACTTTTTTATGCTTTGTTTGGGAGAGAGAAGGAATAAAAAAGAATACATGAAAATTGATTTGATAGTAAATATATAAAAAATAGAGTGAAATAAAATAAAATTTGTAGTTGTTTGATAGATTGAATTTAAATAAAAAAAAGAATAAAATTGATATTTATAATTATTATTTTATCTTCACATTATAATTTAATTTAAATTAATATTTTTTATATTATGTAATTTTATACATTTTTCAAATTCTATAAAAATCTCATTAACGGAGAGACTATATATAAAAAATATATGAAAACCGAACTGCATAACCCTGTAGCAAAAATTGGCTTGATGTACTATGAAGGCTTTCTTGTCTTCATCTGCTGAATGCATGCAGATCTGGTTGTACCCCAAGTAAGCATCCATGAAACTCAGTAACTCGTACCCCGACGCTCCCTCAACCAAGCAGTCTAGGTTGGGCAGCGGGTACGAGTCCTTTGGGCACGCCTTATTAAGGTCGGTGAAGTCCATACACATTCTCCACTTTGCATTACTCTTGCAAACCATCACCAGATTTGCTAACCAGGTCGGATACTGGATTTCTCGGACATGTCCTGCCTTTACCAATTTCTTCATTTCTTCCGCAATGGCCCTTCGTTTCTCCTCTCCAAACTTCCTCCTCTTTTGGATCACTACTTTTGCATTAGGGTCTATAGCCAGCTTGTGGCACAGGAAATCGGGGTCAATGCCAAGCATAACGCTGGAGTGCCATGCAAATGCCGACGCATTTTCCTTTAGAACCTTAACCAACCTTTCTTCATTTTCTGGAGTTAAAGAAGTACCGATCTTCACCGTTTTTCCTTCCATCATTGCTACTTCCTTGACATCTTCCGCAGGGGCGGGTCGGTGATCAAACTGACCCATCCTAGGATCCAGTTCGATGGAATGAATGTGTTTTTCAGCTGGTGTGGTATATAAACGCCTTCTTGCCTTCAAACTGTCCGCGTAACACTTTCGGGCGATCTCTTGGTCCACCTTGAGGACTCCGACATCCCCATTCGGCAATGGATACTTCACTTTCAGATGCGATGTTGACACAACGACCCCCAGTTTATTCAACGTAGGCCTGCCGATGAGTATGTTGTAGGACGACTAAGCATTCACCACTAAGTACCAAATGGTCACCGTTTTCATCTGCGAGCCCTGACCAAAGGTCGTTTCTAGATCAGCATACCCCCTAGCCATAACCTGATCTCCTGCAAAACCTACTAGGGTTCCCACGTAAGGTACCAATCGGTCGTTGGGGATCTTCATTCCCACGAAAGCTTCCCAAAAGAGGATGTCGGTCGAGCTTCCCTGGTTGACCAGAACGCGCTTCACATTATAGTCCATCACTATCGTCGAAATGACGATAGGATCATCCTCATGAGGAGCTACTCCTTCATAGTTAGCGTCTGAGAAGGAAATCGTGGGTTGGGGAGGCCGG